ATGATGAAGCAGCGCGGCGGGAGGAACGTATGCAACCACAGGATCATGGCTGTATGTATGACATGAAACGGTCGTAGCTGGTATGACACAGACCGGTGCGGCGTGTTTCCCCCCAGTGAGAGGCTGTGGACATCGACGAGGAAGGTAGAGTATATGCCGGATGATGAAGCAGCGCGGCGGGAGGAACGTATGCAACCACAGGATCATGGCTGTATGTATGACATGAAACGGTCGTAGCTGGTATGACACAGACCGGTAACCGTTGCCGATATGGTCAGGAATGTTCAGGATTTAAGTATAACCCGTGAGCGGGGGCGGCGTACCAAATAGACCTGGAACGAGCAAGAGTGGAATTGGAGACATCATGTATGCACTCAAGCCGGGGTTCCCCATCCCAATATGGCATGTGTCCCCTCAGCGAGGGGCCGTGGACGTTGACGAGGATGGTAGAGTGTATGCGGTATGAGGAAGGGTGGATGGCAAAGCGTCGGGAGCAACGCCTGCGATCACAGAGTCATGGCTATATGTATGACATGCAACGGACGTAGCTGATATGACACAGACCGGTAACCGTTGCCGATGTGATCAGCAATGTTCAGGATTTGAGTATAACCTGTGAGCGGGGGCGGCGTACCAAATAGGCCTGGAACGAGCAGAAATTGCTTGGAAAGACTATGCATGAGTTGGACCCGGATATAGCACATGAGAGAATCGACGAGAGTAGTAGAATATATGCTATGTACAGAAGGATGAATAGCGAAGCGATGGGAGCAACACGGGGATGGCAGAGCTATGGCCACATGTACTATGGGCCACGGTTGCATGCCGATATATGACGACCATTGTCGGCAAAGGCAGAGATGCTGATAATCAGTGTATGATCCATAGGCGGGCTCGTGTGTACCAAACGCGGCATGGACATTTGGCTGTATGTATTACAAGTTATGAGCGTTCTCGTAGAGGACATTGGAGGGTTCATGTATCACGTATAACGAGCTGGGAGGTCACTGCATGCCGTGTTGTCGCTGTGAGTTTGACGAGCGTGAACCACGCGGGAGAATGCGTCGCAAAGCTCACCGTCGAGGGAGGGTTCTTGTATGACGAGCTGGGGGTTTACGGCGGTGCGCTGTTGTCGCTGTGAGTTTGACGAGCATGAACCGCGCGGGAGAATGCGTCGCAAAGCTCACCGTCGAGGGAGGGTTCTTGTATGACGAGCTGGGGGTTTACGGCGGTGCGCTGTTGTCGCTGTGAGTTTGACGAGC